CGGGAGCCCGCGGGCCCAGCCCCTCGCCTGCCTCCAGGGGTGGCACGTCTGGTTTCGGGGTGTCTGTCTGAGCCGAACCCCCTGTTCTCTGTGCACGGACGGATCGCATCTAACTCTGCCCAGGCCGCAGTGCGAGCTTCACACCTGTGCGCCCTCTGCTCCGCGCGGCCCCCTGTGTGTAGGGAAAGGTCCGCTCACACGCCCAGCACGTTCTGCAGTGGTTTTGTCTGTTTTGTTAATCCTCGCCTGACGATATTTACCATTGACGTTTAGAGAGAGAAGTAGAGAGAGGGAGAGAGAGAGAGAAACATCACACGGATTGGCTGCCTCCTGCCCCCGCACAGACCGGGGCCGGGGATCCAGCCCGCAACTGAGGGAGGTGCCCTTGACCAGAATCCAACCCGGGCCCTTCAGTCCCCCAGGCGGTGCTCTAACCACTGCGCAACCGGCCAGGGCAGCCCCCAGAGAGTTTCAGGTGATCTGGGAACATGAAACTAGGTACGTGGCAGAGTGGCACCGCCAGGGCGCGTTGGTGATGGACTGCTGCTGTGTTGGGAAACAGGATTTTTGGGGACATCTCTTGTGATAAACCTCTGGCAAAAAGGTATATTTAATTCGAAAAATTGTAACTAGTGGATAAAAGAGGTAGGCGGTTGCAGTCTCTTTAGTCGAGCTGTGGTTCATGTGAGAGATGGTTCATGTAAGATGACTATGAGAACACTTGTTTGTAAACTAGCTGACTAAAGCTTATTTTGTGTGTCTGCTATTTTTGCAGATGATTTCATTTTATTTTGAAAGATGTTTCCAGGAAATAGGATGCATTTATTTTTACTGATCCATTTTGCCTTTATCGTTTGATTTTTTTTTAAAAAACCCACCACATTTTGTTTTAATGTTAGCGGTCACAGAAGTAAATAGCACTTTCCGGAGGACTATTCCATGCAACTGTTATACTGTAATATTAGCTGTTTTATAAAGAATAAAGAGGGGTTTGGTAAGAACAGCATGAGAGTAACAGTACAGAAATGTTACATCTCACTTCCCTATTTTCCCCCTTAAAAAGTATTACATTCATTCGCACTGTTATTTATATTAGAGTATATAAATTATATAACAAGTTGCTTTAAATTTTTCTGCTGACTTTTATAAGACTTAACTATAATTTTATAAAACTACACATTAAAATATAAACCAAGCTTTCAGAATTTTTGCTTAACTGAGTGGTCGAGTGGCTAATGCCAATTCCGAATGATACTTAGTTTGTTCCTTTCATTCTTTTCCAGGAACTATCAATAGAGCAAGCATGCTAATATTGAATAAGGCAGCAGGAGTTTTTTCTAAACCAGCAAAAAGGAAAATTTATGAATATTTAAGAAGTTCCAATTTTCATCCTGGGAAAGTATTTCTGCACAAAGTCGTGTTGGGAATTGAGACCAGTTGTGACGATACGGCAGCTGCTGTGGTGGATGAAGCTGGGAATGTTTTGGGAGAAGCGATACATTCCCAGACTGAAGTTCACTTAAAGTAAGTAGACACTATCTTGGTAGATTTCCACTTTTTTTGGAAAGTGTAAAATGAAATAGTTCTTTTCTGTTTATCTTGTATAAGAGTTAAATTCCAGGAGCTAATTGCTTCTCTTGTACAAAAGCTTCTAAGAACTGCTGCTGTTGGACAGCCTTCCGCCCTCAGCCTGGCCCTTAAGGCTCTCCACAGTAAGGCTCGGACCCAGCTAATCCCATTGCCAAAAAGACACCGAGCTTGTTCCCAGCTCCAACGTTTATCCATGATTTCCCCTCTTTTGTTCACCTGTAAGTTTCATGTTCTCCACTGAAGGCCTAGGAGAGCCTGGCTTGACTTCGGCCTGTGTGAATCACTGGAAAGAACAAATCCTATTCCTGTTTCTAGACACAACTCATGTTGGCACAATAATAACAACATGCTGTTGTCTTAAAGCACGGCAGGTGCAAGGTCTGTAAACCTGGGTGTCCCCACCAGGCAGGGTACAGAAATGAAGGGGCTGGAGAGAAAGTGGAACATACCTGCAGGGAGTCACTACTCAGTGATTGCCAGGCGGGACTATCGACCCTGTGCTGCTGGATCAGACTCCTCGAGAGAAACGTGACTGTAATATCTCCAGGTTTTTAAAATTAGTCCTAACTCAAAATGTGTTGAAATCTGTACAGATCAAAAGCACCTTGATGTCACTAATTTAACAACATCTGAGTAGTGAAAAAGGTTGATACTTTGAGATCACAGACCTGTATTTGAATCATGAATTAGGCATTTGGTATTGGCTGACTTTAGGCAAGTTCTTTATCCTCTCTTTTTTCACACCATAAAGGGGGAAAGGTAGCTGCCTTATAGGATTGGGGAAAGTATAATAGGAATAATATAGAAGATGATAATTCGAAGTAATGGATAGGCCTCTCGTGCGTACGTGATACATAAAAGGGACGGTGACGTACCAGGAAGTCCTTGCTCTCAGGAAGCTTGACCTAATCTCTAAGACACGGTATACAGTGACCCTTGGACAACATGGGTTTGAACGGCATAGGTCCACTTATGCATAGATTTTTTTCAGTAAATATATTGGGACATTTTTTTTGGAGATTTGTAACAATTTGAAAAAACTCGTAACCGAATCACATAGCTGAGAAATATTAAAAAAATAAAAAGTCATGTCATGACTGTATAAAATATATGTAGATATTCGTCTGTTTTATCATTGACTACCATAAAATATACACAAATCTGTTCTAAAAAGTTAAAATTTGTCAAAACGTATGCATATACTTACAGACTGCACGTGGCGCCATGTGCAGTGGAGAGAAATGTAAACAAACGGAAAGATGAAGTACGAAATCATAACCGCGTAGAATCCACTGTATTACGTGCTATACTCCTGTCACAGTTTGTAAGCCCCTTCCTGTCGCTATTGCTGTGAGCTCTGACGTGAGCATCTGCTTAAAACGCTGCGTGGCTCTCATTGCCTCTCCACAAGCAGCTCATCTCCAGGAAAGTGTGTATCCCAATCAGTGTGACCTCTGGGGGTTCCTCGTGCCGCACCATAAACCCTGGATACACCCTGGGACCCATGCGAAGTGCCGCTAGTGAGGAGCAGAGGAAAGTCTCGGCCTGACCAGGAGAGCTGGCGTGCTTGGTCTGGATCTAGACATGCCCACCAATCCAAGGCCCAGGAATCCAGCGGAGGGACCATCGTAAACAGAAAGGAAGCTTGCGAGGCCGCCGCTGCCGCCGTGCCAGGAGGTGTAAAAGCCTGGCCCTGCGTATGAAATACCGTTTATCTCGTGTGTCCAGCACTTGGATGCCCAGCGTTAGTGCTGCGTGTCAATCGACAATGTTCTGTAGCGTATAAGGCAGTACTGATGTGGGCACCGATAGGCAATTCATCTTGTAAGCAGACAATATGAGCTTATGGTATCAATGACGGCAGTACAGTACTAAATGCAGCTTCTCTTCCGGAGGGTTTTCTTCATAGCGACTTCTTTTCTCTAGCTTTCTTTATTGTAAGAAGGCAGTATGTATTACCTACAAGGGAGCGCCCATACGACTGTCAGCTGATTTCTCAACAGAAACTATGCAGGCCAGAAGGGAGTGGCAAGAAACATTCAAAGTGATGAATACCAAGAACCTACAACCAAGATTACTTTACCCAGCAAAGCTATCATTCAGAAGTGAAGGTCAGATAAAGAGCTTCACAGATAAGAAAAAGCTAAAGGAGTTCATCACCACCAAACCAGTATTATATGAAATGCTGAAAGGTATCCTTTAAGAAGAGGAAGAAGAAGAAAAAGGTAAAGATACAAATTATGAACAACAAATACACATCTATCAACAAGTTAATCTAAAAATCAAGTGAATAAATAATCTGATGAACAGGAAAAAAAAAAAAAGAATGCAGTATGTAATCCATACACCAAATATGTGTTAATTAACTGCCCATGTTATCAGTAAGGCAGCCAGTCAACAGTAGGCCCTTAGTAGTAAAGTGTTGAAGAAGTCAAAGTTATCCATGGCTTTTCGACGGCACGGGGGTTGGCACCCCTGAGCCCTGCATTATTCAAGGGCCGACTGTATTAAATAAATAGTCATTGCACGCTCCCACTGAGGGTTTTCATTTTTTTTATTTTTATTGCTTTCAGAGAGGACAGGAGAGGGAGACAGAGATGGAAACATCAATAATGAGAGAGAATCATGGATCGGCTGCCTCCTGCACGCCCCCTACTGGGGATCGAGCCCGCAACCCTGGCATGTGCCCTTGACCGGAATCGAGCCCAGGACCCTTCAGTCTGCAGGCTGACGCTCTGTCCACTGAGCCAAACCGGCCAGGGCAGGGTTTTTATTTCTGTTTATATACCCAGCAGATCTTCAACATCACATATTTAAAGGTGCTGTGTTCTTTCTGAGATTTGGGGTGCGTGTTGCAGATCTCGTATTCGATGGCCGTGCTTCTCTGCCACATGCTGGCACGTGTTTTGCTGGCAACTTCACCTCCTACTTCTTTGCTCTTGACGTTCAGAGTGCTCATCCACTGCTTGTCCCACATGGACCCAAAATCAAAACTCCCAACCTCATTTCAGATTGCAGGCTGTCGACTGTCCTGCCGTGGCTGCCAGTGCGGAGGGTCTAAAAATAAACTCGTCCCCTTCGCTAAACTGGCTTCATGTTTCCGTCAGTCTTTCTCTTCTCCCCGTCCTTCCAGCTCCCGGTCTGACTCACCTCCGATGCCTTGGCCTCCCTCCCCTGAGACCCACTTAGTGATTACAGTGGCCCGGGCCTCTGTCCCTTTCTCTCCATCCCCACGGTCACCCAGTCTAAGATGTAATCGCCTTACCCTTCTGCGGTAACTGTAAGCATCTTCTCAAATCTTCCTACCTGCAGAGAGGGCCGTTTTCCCAAAGTCCAGTTTCATCTTGTGCTTCCCTTGCCCGAGAGTTCTTCCACAGCGTGCTTCTCGCGATGATTTTGGCGATTTCCTTCAGCGACAAATTCTGTGCGGAGACACCACACCCTGAATCACTGCAATTTGGGTTCCAGCGGCTGCATCGTAAGACACATTTGAAAATATGTGACTAGCCCTGACCGGTTTGGCTCAGTGGATAGAGTGTCAGCCTGCTGACTCAAGGGTCCCGGGTTAGATTCCCATCAAGGGCATGTACCTTGGTTGCGGGCACATCTCCAGTGGGGAGTGTGCAGGAGGCGGCTGATGGATGTTTCTAACTCTCTATCCCTCTCCCTTCCTCTCTGTACAAAATCAATAAAATATATTTTTAAAAAAAGAAAATACGTGACTGACATTGTGAGCTCTCTAATGATTGATTTGAAAACATGCCTTCAGCTCTCATATACAATTTTTCTTCCCCCGTTTTTACAATCTTAAAAATTACAAAAAGCTTTTTTTGAAAATCTCTTTCAGAACCGGCGGGATCATTCCGCCAGTAGCTCAGCAGCTTCACAGAGAGAATATCCAGCGGATAGTGCAAGAAGCGCTGTCTGCCAGTCGAGTCCCTCCGAGCGAACTCTCCGCCGTTGCCACCACCACCATGCCCGGCCTGGCCCTGAGCCTGGGCGTGGGCCTGTCCTTCAGCCTGCAGCTGGTCGGCCAGCTGAAGAAGCCCTTCATCCCCATCCACCACATGGAAGCTCACGCGCTCACTATCAGGCTGACAAACGAAGTGGAATTTCCCTTTCTCGTTCTCTTGATTTCTGGAGGCCACTGTCTGTTGGCCTTGGTCAGAGGAGTCGCGGATTTCCTGCTTCTCGGAAAGTCTCTGGACATAGCGCCGGGGGACATGCTTGACAAGGTAACTCAGATTAATCTCTACCTTATTTTTTGTCAAGGTGTCCGTTTCAGTTGAGGAGCGATGGCTGCACTAGTACCATCCATCTAAATATTTCTGAATGATGTCCCATTAGACCGAAAAAATATGTGTGGGGTAAGACAAACAGAAAAAGTAGTGCCTAGTTTACAAAAGACTCTTTCTGCCCCATTTCAAATAAAATGTAGGAGGTTTACAGCAGCCCATAAAGGCTCACATAGTTCGCAAATGCAGTTGTTTTTTTTGTTTTTTTAATTCTTTATTGCTTAAAGTATTACATATAGTATTATATATGTCTCCTTTTTCTCCCATTGACCTCTCCCCAGCCACCCCCACCCCCCAGCGCATGCCCTCACCCTCCTAGTGTCTGTGTCCATTGGTTATGCTTATGTGCATGCATACAAGTCCGTGGTTGATCTCTTACCCCCCCCCCCTTTCCCTCCTCCCGCCTTCCCTCTGAAGTTTGATGGTCTGTTTGATGCTTCTCTGTCTCTGGGTCTATTTTTGTTCATTGGTTTATGTTATTCATTATATTCCACAAATGAGTGAGATCATGTGATATTTATCTTTCTCCGACTGGCTTATTTCACTTAGCATAATGCTCTCCAGGTCCCTCCATGCTGTTGCAAATGGTAAGAGTTCTTTCTTTGTTACAGCAGCATAGTATTCCATTGTGTAGATGTACCACAGTTTTTTAATCCATTCATCTACTGATGGGCACTTAGGCTGTTTCCAGATCTTAGCTATGGTGAATTGTGCTGCTATGAACATATGGGTGCATATATCCTTTCTGATTGGTGTTTCTGGCTTCTTGGAATATATTCCTAGAAGTGGGATCACTGGGTCAAATGGGAGTTCCACTTTTAGTTTTTTGAGGAAACTCCATACTGTTCTCCACAGTGGCTGCACCAGTCTGCATTCCCACCAGCAGTGCACGAGGGTTCCTTTTTCTCTGCATCCTCGCCAGCACTTGTCGTTTGTTGATTTGTTGATGACAGCCATTCTGACAGGTGTGAGATGGTATCTCATTGCCTGCAGTTATGTTTTTCATCAAATAGGACAATATATGTGAAAGAAGGTGTTTTGCGAAGTGTCAAGTACTCTAAAAACGTGAAATGTGAGGATATAGGAAGATAAGGACATTAGAGACGCACCAAGTTCTGTGGTTAAATGTCACCATTACCAGCACTACCACCACGCAGATTGCTGCTTCCTCTGTGGTAGGATCCTACAGAGATCCTGCTGCCAGCCGCTGGCACGGTGGGAAGCAGCAGGGCAGATTCTTATGGACGAAGCAGCCATTCTTAACTTCCAACCTGTTTCCCATCCCCAGTGGAAGAGCAACAGTGGATGGGGAGGCAGTGCCGGCCGCTGTCGGTCGGGTTGTCAGAAAGGCAGGCCTGGCCATCTCCCTGACCAGCTGTCGCCCATGTTTGTAAAGGCAGAGCATGTCTTATTCGTCCGGGTTTGGTGTGTTTTTCATTTCCTTTGCATCTTGGTTTCAAAGCGTGCAATTTTCTGGCTCATTGTAAGATGTTGTGTCTGTTTCTGACAGGTGGCAAGAAGGCTGTCTTTAACAAAACACCCGGAGTGTGCCGCCATGAGTGGTGGGAGGGCCATCGAGCATCTGGCGAAACAAGGAAATAGACTGCGTTTTGACCTCACGCCTCCCATGCATCGGGCTAAAAACTGTGATTTTTCCTTCACTGGACTTCAACACGCTGTCGATAAGATAATAACACGAAAGGAAAAAGAGGAAGGTATATTTCTAATAAGTAAAGGTGGACAGCCCTAGCAGGTTTGGCCCAGTGGATAGAGCGTCGGCCTGGGGACCGAAGGGTCCTGGGTTCGATTCCGGTCAAGGGCATGTACCTTGGTTGCAGGGGCCCAGGCCCTGGTCAGGGCTCATGTGGGTGGCAACCAATTGATGTGTATCGATGTTTCTCTCTGTCTCTCCCTCTCCCTCTCACTCTGAAAATCAATGGAAAAATATCCTCGGGTGAGGGTTAACAAAAAAAAAGTAACGAAAGATGGACAGGGGAGTAATCCCAGACTGTGCTCTGTCTGCAGGCGTGGAGCAGGGGCAGGTCCTGGCCTCCGCTGCGGACATCGCGGCCGCCGTGCAGCACACCA